AGAACAACATCTGAAGCAAATTATCCCCTTAATACTCTATCAAAATCCCATAGACTATCATGAGATATAAGTGGTACTAGAGTAAGAATTCTGAAATTGGGATGAAATTCTGTTTTCTTCATGTTGATAATGAGTTATGCTATTTTCCTGCTCTCAGTCTAGCAAAAAGAAAAAAAGAAAAAATGTTATCAGTACTGAGGAAATCTTATTAGATTCAACCCTATTTTTAAACAGTTAGGACCAAAATCTTCATTCAGGCACACTGGTGCCACCCCATTAAATTCCAGCAGTGGCACCACTGGTAGAGAAAGAATGGCACTCAGATTTTTCACCATTAAGTAATCTGTTTTCATTACCTTCTCAGCAGTTTGTTTCATTTCCCTGCAGTAGGGAAACTAAAATTAGAAAACATTTCATGTTCATAGTTAGTTTGCTTCCAATGTGAAAAAACAAGTCTATAAATTTGTTTATTGGATTATGCCTTGTGCAGTTCTACTAAAAAAAGTTGTCTTTACATTATAGTGATGAACTGTAAATGGCATAGTGCATTATTTTGTCCAAAGTAATTCAAATTAATGACCCTAGAAATATTATTTGAGGTGTCTAAGTTATAAAGCATTGCCAATAGTCATGAATATTACCAGCAGAATTTCTATTCTCTTTTGTAATGTATGCATTGCCATGTGTTAATAAATTATTTTCTGATCATCTTCAGAACTTGCTGTCTCTTGCAGGAGTTCCACATGCCAGTCTTGTATCAGTTCTAGTAGCAAATGAATGTCAGGTAAATGCTGATAGCAAACTATCAAAAGTTTGAACGCATTGTTCTTGTCTTGACTTGCATACTTAAGTTCTTACTTCACATTACCTAAAGTAATACTGATTCTGACTAAAAAGGAAATAGAAAAAAAAAGAGCAAGTCCAAGTGTGGTGATCTCATAGGTTCTTCAGCTTGTAACTGTGAGAATAACATTAGCTTAGAAAGTCTAAAAATTAATTTTTAGTTTCAATTACATGAAACTTTAAAAAAAGAAAAAGAAAAAAATGTAGAATACCTTTCCGGTTTAGATAAATGTTACTCTGGATGCTAGAAATAGATTTGCTTCTCAAGAACAGAAGGGGTATGTATTTTCTTGCATTGTAGTGGCTCATGTCATTCTTACCAAGAAAGTGTTAAGCCTTACCAACCATAGATAATAATATTTTGAAATTATTAAAAGAACCCAAAAGTTCATCCAAGCCAGATGGTACCAGAATTAACACACATTTGGGAAACACGCCATCATAGTGGTATCCAGAGACACTCTTAAGAAGCTTACAGATCAGAGGAGGGGATGAAATGATTTGAGCTTCATAGAGACTTCTTATGACTAAATACTGATGCCAAGACCACTTCTAAGGAAAAGTGGATCGATCGTGAAATCATGAAGTCAACCAACTTCCAGATTTCAAAAGAGGGGACTGAAGAGTAAGCTTTTCTATCAAGTAATATAAAAAACCTACTGTGGCAATGATGCAAGTGAACATCTATTTTTTTGAGTTCTCACAGACCTGCTGTGCTTCATTTGGTCCTAGACAAAGGGTTTTCTAGCTTATACAGTTACTTTCCTAGTAAGGCTGGCCAATGAGTAGAAACACTAACTGTGTGCTTGAACCTATCTAATTTTTCAATAACTCATTTTCTGTTCTAAATACCTTTTTAAAATTCCTGTAATAACTTTTCAACCTTTCTTTCTGACAAAGTACTACAGTCCAATCAGCATGAAACACACATGTGCTTAGTTTTAAAGGTCATTCAATAGTCACACACCAAACTATCTTTAAAGGTAAAGCAGAGCTTGAAAACAGATCTGAAATATATTTCCTCAGATGAGATTTGGCTAGAAATCCTATGCAAAAATTTAAATTATTCTTTTAGTATCAGGCACAGCCTTCTAATTTCTTAGAGGCATTTAGATACTTTATACTTACAAGGAATTTTCCTTACTGCAGGCAAATAACATAAATCCTACTTACTGGCTATACTAAAAATACAACCAAAGAAAATACATGTGTCATGTTAAATTCATGTGTCATGGAAACCTGTAATTCTTTCTATCCTAGCTGGGCAGAATTAATTTCAGATTTGATCACCCTGCTGCGTATCAGGATCACTGATAAGGAGGCACAGAATAACTGCGTTAACAGAAATCTGACAGTGGCAGGCACAATGCTGTATTGTAAAAATAACAGACAAATCTTCTGTACGTGGCTCATTAACAAGACATGCAGGCCAGGCCTACGCTGATCATTTCAAAAAAATCTGCCACAAACTGGAACGTAGCAGCTGTATCCATCTTAGTCAAAACATAAGACAGCAAAATATCAGTCTCTTTCAGATAACACGACATCTGCTCAAGCAAAATTACATGCCATGGTGTTAATGAAGGACTTTAGTTTTCCTATTAATGATGGGATTTAGTTGTTTCATAAAAGTTAATAGCCAAAGATGAACATTAGAAGCTAGAATCCTGAAAATCCAAACTGCAATCATTTCTTCATGCTGTCTTCAGGGAATACCGTCTTTGACTTCACGAAGAAGAAAGAGGTAGAAGATGGCTTTAAAGGAGAAGCTATAAAGATTATGGCTGAGTATTTTAATACAGATACAATATTGCCAAGCTGTGAAAACAGCTCTCTTTCAGAAACAGTACACTACAAAAATGCAAAGAAATGTACTGGCTACTGACAGACCACTACCAAGCAGTTATAAACTAGGGCCAAGCACATGCTTTGGTTTTACATGGAATAAATGGTTCCTCTGTCCCTAATGAAAACTCACAGTGGAAAAAGGTAAGCAGAATTTAAGGCCTTGCAGAACTGGAATTTTAGGAGTAAAAACAATGTATGAAATAACAAAAAAAGGAACTGGGGACTAACAAAGTGCATTTGTATGTTTAAAAAAAAAAACCCGTAACAAACAAACCAACATAAAAAAACCTCCAAACTACTGAGGAAATAGTAACAGATCACAGAACTGAGTTCAACAGTAAGAAAAACAGCTGCAGTGAGAAATTAGTCCCATGGAACCAGAAAATAGCATACTATGTTTGTATGAAAATAATATGTTATTGGTTGAGCTGCTAGTTCACACAAAATACACAGCATTCTTCATTTGACTTGTTTCTTTTTGGAAATCATGTAATATTTTTCAATTACTGAATATCTCAAGCATTAAAGATTGAAAAAGAAACAAAATTCTTATGACATTTATTAGTTTTAACTTTGTCAGGTAACAGTGACTACAGCCTGTTACCATTTAAAATAGCACAGAAACATACCGCCAAAACAAAAAGGAGCAAGTCTCCCCTCAAGATAATGGCCTTTAGAATGAAATATGATGGTTTTAACTTAAGACTTAAAAGTTTTGTCTATTCTCAGCAAGTATGCTGCTATGAGGAAAGAGGAAGTAGCATTGAATTAATTGCCTTTTTGTTTTCTAGTCAAGCCACAGTTAAAGCTTTAAATAGCTTAAGTACTTGCTAAATATATTCTGAAATACATCAAGGGCAGACTATTTATTTTATCTTAAGTGCCTTTATTAAGGAAGACATAAGCCTATACCCTCTTCAGCTGTGACCAAAAGCAACCTTATCTCACCTTACCAAGAATCAGGTTTACGTCCTGGATATTGGTCTTTCTTAATGTCCGGAGAAATGATCTGCATTTGAAGATCACGATAACATCAGTAAAATCCAAAAGGACTACCAATTAGCAAGTTATAACACTTTCCATTTTTATGCGACCTACTTTTGAAAATGAAAAGTGTTGCAACAGAATGTTCTACTTCCTAAAAATATTTTGATTCAGATAGCAACCATAATCCCCAAGGACGCTTACAGACTTTGCCCACCACTGTAAACATCATCTCTGTCATAACACTCATTTTCTTCTTCAGACTCCATGAGAGCCTCTCAAACCAGCAAGTGAAAACTGGAAGTAAATCCACCATTTTGGTATATAACAAAAAGGAAGGTAATCTGAACTACCAAATAAACCCCATCCAATTGACCTGTAAGAATTTTCCATATAAAATATGAGGTCTTTGCAAATATGTTATTTTGCAGTCAATGACCACAGAATAGTTTTTCTTCTCCAATAAAAGTTCTCGCTACTCAGTTTCTTTGAATCTATCCTTATTATTTATAACAGCAGCTATGGTTACCTACATCCTCAGTCCACTTTAAGTGGACTGAAATCTATCAAGACAGGAACAGCTGTAGTCTGTCAGGTAGTCCAGTATTAAATCCCGTACCCAAGGAAATACCAGATGTTCACAGAAAAGCACAAAGAAGAACCTACCATAAGTTACAGACTTGCAAAGACATTTTTGTCTTCCCATAGCAAGACTCAGCCAAGTACTGAAGTATGAGAAATTGCCCTTCCTGAAAGATATTTTTGTTCTTACATGGAAACCTAATTATTTCTCAAATCCTGTACCCTGTTCTGCTTACTGTGTGCTTTCCTTCTTCAGAAGTGTGATCCACAGGAAATCTTGAATATATTCCTAGAATTTTATTTTTTAAATATTTAAGATCGTCTTCTTTTTTATTAACGAACTGCTTATGACTTAGAAAAAAAAGAAAGAAATAAAGAAAAGAAACAAAACCTTTTGCAGACAGCTTGGCCTTTTTTTTTTTTTCCTTCCCTCCAGCAACATATGGCAACATCTGTTGCCTCTCTGCTGGACAATGACTTGTTAGCATTGACTTGTCTGCTACCAAAACTTCTTAAAGAGGCAAGTAGAAAAATTTAGGTGCAACTAAAAAAAATAATATATATACACACACATATAAATACTGGCTTTCAAGTTCTTGCCATTTGTTATATACTGCATGAACATGTAATTATTTCTCTGAAGTCAACGGACTGAGTGTAAAGCCCATCAAGTCAACTTTGCTTTCTTGTTGAGGAAACATGAATTGGCTTTTGCTTACTATTTGACTGATCATAGAACAAACTGTTAATAGGAGGATATTCTCATTTTGCAAAATTGGAGTAAAGAATAGACACGTCAAGTTTCAAACATTTATTAAGCCTCATCAAGACACTTTCAAACACATGACCAAGTGCAGCGTGAGGCACGTTTGATTATTTCCTGGATGATTAAGCATGACAATTGTGCGGACGGCTTCCGGAAGACCTTTCTGTGCAGCTTACGGAGATGAGTGTGTTGTTCAGAAGTCAGGACGGTCCTTTTTCAGTCTACTGTAGTCTACGTTAACCGAGTAGAACTAGGAAAGAGGTGGGGGGAAATGAGTAAGAAGCTCAACTATCCATTTGCCATAGTATTTACTAAAAAACAGGCATCATTTGAACTTATGTCAGGAAAATGAAATCATAGGTTGAGTCTGTACACTAGACAAAAATAAATAAATAAATACTTTGAACAGCAGTAACTTTTTTATATTATCTTCATTCTGCATACAGTATTAGAAGCTCTGCATTTAAAATGAGACAATGCTCGTGTCTACAACTATAGAAAATCCCACAATCTCTCTTCTTTAATCCCCGGAATTAAAAGTCCATTCACACAAAGTTCTTACAGTACTGCCAAGTTTATCCTTTTTTCCCCAAATCTATGTGCTCCTGTATACGGAAGGCAATACCTAGCTTGCAAAGTGGCATAAAGCACAGAGTATGTGAACAGATAGTGTCATGAGGGAACATTTAGAGCGGTGCTGCAAAAGCCAAATTTGGTTTAAGAAGCTGCATCTAGAACTGCATGGTATGACAAGGAGGAAGGAAAGACCAGACCCTTTCACACTCCCAGTTTGTATTAATAAAGCTGGATCCCATTACTAGCAATTCAAAACAGCCCAGTCACTGAGGACAATAAATTTACAGACTAAAAGCATATTTTGACATTCCAGCCTGACTTGACATCAAGCATGTGATGCTATAGGTTTTTTTTTCTTAAAAAAACCCACAAACTTATCTATTAACTTGATTATTTTTAGTTATGCCCAAATTCAATTTTTTTTTTTGTTTTAACTTCCTCAGAGAAAACAAAACAGCCTACAGCACATTCAAATTACAGCTTCCTGTGCAACTCCTACAGTAACAATCTGGTCTTCAACTCTTTTCTTTGGGAAGACTGAGAAAGTTGACATGACAAAGAGAAGTTATACAAAAGAAAAATGGTTTCATCAAAAGCAAAAACTTGTTGTATCAGAGGTTTTTACTAAACAGTCATCCTCAATTTAGAGTATCAGCCTTGCCATTTCCCACAGTGCAGATTTGGAAAAAAAATTCCCAATGATACACACACCCAAATATGGTAAACCCTGAGGTTGTGTTTGCATGCTAAGACAGAAGGGGAATGCTACACAAGGCATGCACTCTTCAAAAGAATTTGTGCTGCGCACTAAGTTGAATTTGCCTCTTTTAGATATTTAAGAAACAGCAACATTCCTGAAGCAGCAATGAAAAAAAAGTATCATGTTCTTCCTGGACCTTTAAGGGAACTGCAACATATTTTATTTTGGAGTGTGTGGGGTTTCTTACTTATTTCAATGACTGGAACAGTAAGGTATGGTACTGAACGGACACCAGCTTTTAAAACATAGTAGGTTTGCTTGTTTAGTAGCTTGAGAATAATCTTAAAATATTCTTAACAGGAATCTACTAAAATACCACTTTAGTAAAATGTGATAAAAACATTATTTCTGTAAACTGCCAAATCTTTTACACATCTTTGCATGCTTCCTCATTAATTCAATGAAGTAATTTGAATATTACTTAAAGAACATTTCTATTGCATCCAGCTACTGTTTTTGTTTTCAAACAATCAACTGTAGAACTGAGATAGCGTTTATGTTAAACACTGCCATTTTCCTGCTTTGCTTCTCATGAATAAAGGCCAATAGTTTAGAGCTTAGAAAGCTTTAGTTCAGAACTTACAAGGTTTTGTCCTTCTCCCTGTAGTTTATTTCTGAGTATTATGAGCTAGAATACTCTTCCTTTCGCATAGAATTCTTCTTTTTCTTACAGTGCAATATATATGACTGCTTCTGTATAGATTCCTTTCACCCCATTATCAACCAACTCTAGGAAAGCTTTAGACCTCAAACGTGTCTCTGCTCCGAGTTCTAGAGACAAACAAATGTTGCACAGCAGAAAAAAATAGAACACTCATTCAGCTACTCTCCAATACACTCAAACATCCTAAAGCAATAGGCTACACCTTTGATATTATGTTTCTTAAAAATCTGTATTTTTCATTTTACCTTGTACTGGTCACTGGGAGACAGTTTGTTCCAAGGTTCTGGATTATTTTTCTTGTCCCAGCTATTGACAGAAAGGCAAGATATGAGAACACGCTAAGAGAATCACACTACCTTCAAAATAAACAAAATCTGTAGGTGTACTGTAGTTATTAGACCATAGAGAGTCACCCATCCAAATAAGTTTCCACAGAAAGAGACACAGTCTTTTGTCAGCAGTCTCCAAATATCATATGGTATATAAACAAATCTCCAAATCAAGGAAATCTACACACACTTGGTGCCAGTGATAATGCAGAAAGACATCAAGGCCTCCAGAAACATAAATACCAAGGCAGTGATGCTGACTTTGGTATATACAGCAAGAGAACTGGGCGCTGTGAATTATTTTATACATACCAGACATCAGGGTTGAACACTGCCAAACGCATGAGATACAGGGCTGCGCCAACACCTCCAGATCCAATGATCAAAAACAGAGGGATCAACTAGAACAGATAAAGAAAAAAAATAAATGTCACACCATAATATAACAAAATAACATTATTACATATCTTTTCTGACTACAGCAATGACAAACCAAAGAACACGTTCACACACTTGAAGCCATGATGCACGCCCTCTAAAACCCTGACATAAGCTCCCCGTGTGCAGGGCATCCCTGGGGGCAGAGAGGAACTAGCAGCTATGAAGAGGCAGACATGAAAAATTATACTGCTACATGCAGAACAACCAGACGTCCCATAACAGCACGTTTCTGAAAAACCAACATTAGTCCTTCCACTGCCCAAAACAGCCCCTGCCGTCTGCACCCCGGAGGATAAAGTAAGAAAACGGGGGCGGGGGGTGGAGGAAAAAAGACGAGCAGGAAGAACGGATGAACCACCTTGAGCCTTGCTGCTGCAGCAGCAGAACGGCCCACACATACCAGAGGGAAAAGGGGACCTGGCCGAGTCTCGCCGATCAGCCGCGGCGCACCCGAGAGGCCAGGCATCCCGGGGGAAAGGAGACAGAGGAGCGAGGAGGGGGCGGGGCGGGGGGGCGGGGGGCACCGGCCGCCAGCAGGGGAGGGCTCAGAGAGCGGCCGAGGCGCCGGGGCCGAGGCGCCGCAGCCCCCGCGCCGCCGGGGCACTGCCGCCGGGTACTCACGCTGGGGTGCTTCCTGGCGTGGCTGACCATAACGCGAAACATGGCGGCAGCGGGCGCGGACGAAGGTCTCGCTCTCTACCAGGCTGCGGAGCCCGTCCTCCCCCTTCAGCTGCCGAGGCCCAATGTCACCCGAGGCCCCCGGCGCGGCAGGTGCCCGCCGCCGCAGCCCGGATGTAGCAGCTCCGGCGTTCGCCTGTTCGCCCTCCGCCGCGGCCCGCCC